CATGTAGCACGTAGGAAAGATAACCACTGGTCATTTAGGGTAACCGGCTGGATTCCCAGAGAAGGCAAACGCACGAAGAAAAGACAGAAGGTTAGGAGGGCCGATAAGATTAAAAAGTTCGCAGGTACTATGTGGCAGCAAAAAGAACAAGACCGGGTTGATTGGAGGATAACGGGAGAGGTCTTTTCCCTGCATCGTGAGTATTCAGACTGATGATGCTAATGATAAAGCATCCTTTCTTGGGCCAGTGTCTCTAGAAATCCCACGTCACTTGCTGCGTTTCTGTACTTTGTTCATATTTATTGAAGACCATTTCGTTACTATGAAACCTTAATATCATAATCATATCGACGGGCCCCGGGCAACGCGCATGCCGACAGCGGAAGATTGGCTGGGTATACACTGGGTTCAGCATAGCGTGTTCAGCTATGCTGAACTGATTGCGTAAACTGGAATGCGCAAAGACAGTCACGCCAAACTCACAAGCACCTGCTATGGTGAAACGCAGTTTGCTGCGTTTTCTAGCTGAAGCTGTTCGTCTATTATTACCCGGTTCATGCATCGTCGAACCGTTTGAAACGAAAAAAAGCATATACAAAAACACCATTTGGTTTTCAGCCTGCTGACAAAGAGCTATTTGAAATACTTTGGCGCATAAGACTCAAATAATGTTCTGCCGTCTTCTCGATTGCCAGCCATACTAGCTTACGGCGTTGAAACAAATTTGATATCGCTGCTGCCGTCGGGAAAAAAAGTTGAAGCTTATACTTGCGTCACTGAGGAATCTGAATGATTTAAACAAGCTTATGGGCTTTAATGTCATATAAGGCTAGCGTTATGCGATAATGACATTTACCGCTCGGCGTGAGCTCACCGCAAGCGGTTTTTTTATTGCTGTCCTCAGAAATAAAACATGAGCGTCCTGCCAGAAAGCCGCGAAAAAGAAAAATGCACTCGAATACCTTAATGGATAACGCTAGTTCTTTCCACATTCGAGAATGTAATAAGAATAAAACGGAGAATATGGATAGCCCTCACTTGTCCCAAGGGCCCGTTTGTAAGCATACCTTTCGTCACGTCAAAGCAAAACCCTCACAACTCGGACCAAGTTCCGTGTACGTGCAAGCGTAAGTAAACGCAGCAGCTAAACAGCAGACGTTAGGTTCGCATGCACATCCGTCAGAAATATGCCGATAAATTAACTCATAAATAGAAAAAAGAAAATGCTGAACCGAAATGCTCGCATGCGATAGTGGTTTATTCATGAGAGGCCGCTCGGGATTCAGCATAATTTGCATCGCCAAGCGAAGCATCACAACAGCCGGGCCAAACAAATTATTTGTGCTCTTCCCCACACCTCTTCCCTTTTGCTATTGAGATGCGCCAAGGAGATACGCAACTCGCCAGCGCCGACACTTCGATGCGGTTATTGAGAATGCTTCTGGCGAGCCGCCGATATCATAACACCGTCTCTCAAACGAGGAGGGTTCCATCGTTTGTTCATTCCTGAAACTCCCATCGCTGCTCATCTTTCTTCCTGTGCCTTTTCATTCTTCGACACGTGAATTGCAATACTGAGGTTTCATCTGTCTTTACTTCCTTATCCCTCATTAAGCAAGAGCCGTGTGATGTTTTTTTTTTATTTCACTTTGCATTTGTTTGGATGGTAAACAGCGCGCTTTTATTACCCCGTGGGCGCCGTACGTTTGCCGCTCAGGTAAAGAAAAACCAAACAACCAAAGTAATTCAATAGAGGCCACACAGACGTGATTATCTCGTGGATGTCTTATTATGCAATTTTTCTTCGAAACAATGAACAAATCGTGAGAACCTTCGCGCACGATTATGGGACTGAAGTCATCGTTTACGTAAAGGCAAGAAATCGAGACATCTTTGTTTTCTGTCCTGAAGTCATCAATTACGTAAAGGCAAGAAATCAAGACAACTTTGTTTTCTGTTTATAGCAGCGCTTTTTCCCTCTGTTGCTAATCGAAGGAGCACACAAGTATGCTTACTCAGCGCATCAATAGGAAGAAGTAGGACGGGGACATTCAAGGGGAGAGCTGAAGTTTCGATTGTTCATTCAAACTATTTTAAAATGTTTTTAGTTTCTCGAGGTTTTGCATTTTAAGGAAACTACGTGTCTGTGATAGACGCCACAGTTCTAGACAGAGCCAGAAAAACCAGGCAGTTATTAACGTGCGTTTAATCCTAACTACGCCAGCGTTTTTTTTTCTTTGCTTTCACTTCCTTGAATTTTCCCGCATGTTCAAAACATTTTAAAGGACATACATGAAGTGACATCTTCGAATCTTCGAAATGACATCTTCGAATGTCAGTGAACTTTTTATTAACAACCCACGCCCATCGTATCAAGCCGACCAGATGCTTTATTAAGTATAAGCCTACTGTACAAACAAGTGAGCGGTGTCACCTATATTATTTGTTTTAGCGTGACGTGCACTCAAACGCTTTCTTGAAAAAGACAATAACATTGCGCTCCTCTTATGGGTTTAGTTTTCAGGGAGTTCTCGGGTATGCCCGAAGCACCCGCCAAGTCCTTCGTCGTGCTTCAATCAAAAGAGCGCTTCCGTTCGAAGATTTCATTCGAGACAGAACTGCCTCTCCAACACACAAAGCGTAGCCGGCGCCCACAAACTGCGTCTGCCGGGGCCACACAGTGTGAAGGCTGCTTGAGAATCACAAATGTCGAGAGACAGCTGGCGTGGACATGCAGCCACTGGGGACGATGCCACCGCCTTCACCACCTCGCAGTGTTTACCCATATCTGTGTGATGCGCGCTGCGTATATATAACTTGAAAGAATGCGTGAAGTATACGGTGGGGTACGTGCTTTTTCCCGCATCACCATCTTCGCGTATTCCAAGCATTAGCTCGTAAGAAGAAGGCGACAGCATGGCACCCGACAAAAGCGAGGTGCCATAAACGAACAGAAATAGGCCAATCGGGATGATTCCCTCGATTCCCCACCCCCCCTCCTATTTCTCACCCAGTAGGTTGAGCGTGCAAAGGATAACATAACCATTATGCTGACCCTCTTTCATGTTGTAGATTTTCCTAAATACTCCTACGATTCCAAATACAAGAATGTAAAAAGACAGGCACATCCAAATACAAATTGAATTCCGGAAAGATTTCCCTCCCCTGTGCACGTGACGCGTTTCCGCAGCCTTGTCAGAACGTTTGCTGCCACAGAGCTACTCACATTTTCCTTCGTTTTCCCTGGTTTATCATCTTTTACCCTCGAATCATTGTTCGTATTTTCGTTTCTCATTCTTCTGGCAATGTTTGTTAGCTTCTACGACGGGAGGCCCGAGGGTGGTCTTTAGCTTATATAACAAGTATAGGGGGTGCAGGAGTGGCTGATATAGCACAGCCCGTGCTAAACGACGCCTCCCGCTAGCGTCCGATGCTCAGCGTATGCACGCACGCACGAGCTCTAAGCGCGCTTTGGGATTCAGGGCACGCAGCGGCCGTATACGCTTGCGAGAAAGCGGTCGCGTCTTCGGCCGTGCCCATATTTTTTGGTAGAGTCGTATTATGGGAAGTCGAGAGCTTATTACATAGGTAAGGGCGAGGAGTGCTTACGCATCTGTCGGTGAGAGGATTAAATTTGTACTTTTTTTCTCATTTATTTCTATTTTTCTCGCCCTTCTTCTTGTTTAGACTAGAGGACGTGAGAACGTGCACTCTTGGTGTGCTTCTTTCTTTACCTTCAAGTACACCATGTAGTGCTTCTATTTGGAACAAGGCCCAAAACATTGAATGCCATGAGAAAAAAAAAGAACTAGATTGATTTTTTGTGCATTTCACTTTAGTTCTCCTAAGCTGCCATTTAAGAGGTGGTTGTCTTATTTAAGTGAGAAAGGTATTATAAATATAAACAAATAAAAATGTTTACGTTGAAATGCCTCTGTTATATAATGAGAGCTAAATCATCTAAGTTCTATTTGCTATCTGCGGTAGAAGTGCGCAAAATATATGATTCGACTGATCGTATCTTCACCGAACAAACGACTGAAAGAAGGCGTTATAGCTTTTTACCGCAGAATTTCAACTTTTTGGCGACAGTTCAGGCGGAGCAGCTTAAAACGGGGAGGATGCCATCGCGTTCTGGAGCGCTTTTGTTTGTGCTTTCGTAAAAGCCGTGCATGTCGTGTCGTACTCGATGCCGCAAATGCAGACTGGCGTAAAATCAAGCATAAGCGCTTAGTTAAGCCCGGTGGCCAGGGTCTGCGGAACAAGGCTCGGTACAGCCCGGCCGAGCTGTTTTGGTTCTGCACGCGGTGCTTGTGTGCCTAGGGTTCATAGATTTGAAGCACACGAGTGGCGTTGGTATAAACGGTCGTACGGGATGTCAAAATGTGTTCTAGGATGACGCGTGATGAGTTAATGAAGTAAAACTTACTTCACTCGGCTCAGCAAGTCTGAGCGAGAACTAAAGCTACCTAATCACAGATGACATCTGCGCACATTCAGTTTACACACACGGGAATAATATATTATGGTTCAGGTTTTACGTTCCGAAACCGCAATATACTTGTGAAAAATGCCGTGGAGCACCCCAGAAAGTATCGGCCATCTTGTGTTTATAAACGTGTGCTTAAATCTAAGCAAGCGAGCCTTAAGAATTCGGCTTTTACCGAAATGCGGTCGCCGCCATCGGGATTCGGTTCCGTGACCTTCGGGCTGACAGTAAAACACCATAACGACTTGAACACGATGGCACGCACACTCATGAAAAAGCAGCAGTTGCGACTGGACTTAATCATTGGGTGAGTGGATACGAGTATTGGGTTTAAAAAAGAAGAACGGAATGTGACAGAATGAGTGACATATAAAACAAAGCAAGAAGACAGTGCATCGTCGCAGTTACTTCGACGTATCTTTCACCTCGAAAGACACATTGAAGCCAGTAACAAAAGCAGCCCGAAAAACGCGCTCGACGAACATGCGAGTGCGTGTCAATGAAATCGTACCTTGTAGACGTCGAGCTCTCCGCAGAACTGGTCGAACTGCGTGTACAGGGCGTTGAGCATGTTGATGACCATCATGGGGGTGGCCGTCGCGCAGATGGCCGTGAAACCCACGATGTCCGAGAAGAGCAGCGTCACTTGGTCATGCTGCTGCGCCTCCACCGATTCTCCTGCGCAGGAACAGAAGAGTGTGATGCCACGCGTAACTGTGTTTCGTGGGAATAATTTTTTTTTTAAAAATAAATGTGTTTAAGGAGAGGTCGGGGCCGAAAAATGAAAGTGGCTTGTGACAGCGAAGCTTTCAAATACAATTTGCATTCTGTGCTGTGGGTAGCATGCTTTAAACCACTAGCAATCATGCGCGTGAAATGTTTCCGAACTCTCTATGCACCCACTACGTGGTCATTAAAGAATACACGCAGTAATGTGTGTTCCCTTTGTAATTAATGGCCGGCTTTGAATTACGTAGTTGTTATGACAAGCACATGTTCTGACCGACTAAGATAGTGGCCGAAGGATGTTCCTTTCTCACTCTCCTCTTATTTCTATCTCTTTCCTTCCTATTATTCCCCCTTTTCCGCACCTCATGTTTAGCGTATCCAGCCTATCCAAGCTTGGTTTAACTTCCTGCTTTTACTTTACTAATTTCTCTCTCTCTCTCTTTCACATGTTTTTACACCCAGTTTCTTGTGCCACGCGATAATACAGCAATATTACGCATTTTCATCGCGAATGGTGTGTACAAAACGTGTGTGTTTGTAAAGCACGAACTTCGATTTCTCTGCATTTCTAGGCAGGGGTTGTTATTTTCACAGTATTTACAAACAGAGGCGCAGCTGTGTGGAAGAAAACCTGCTTGTCCCGCAAAACACGCGGGCTCAATTTTCACTGGGAGCCGGAAAATTTTATTGTTTATTTTATTTGCATCTTTCTTAATTTTCAGGTCACGGAGAAGATGACAATCTCTCGCTCACAACCAACGACACCGAAGTAGGAATTTCTGCGAAACGAGCGAAACTTATGACAAAAAATTTCCCTCAATAACCAACAGGGCGAACAATAATCGCCTAGGTGAATCAGCATAATTCTGATATTCCCGATTCTCCCATGAACTGTACCAGCGCGTGCGCGGCAATATATTGAAAAGCCTCAACCGACCAAGGGCCCAAGATCTTTTTTTTTCCTCTAAGTATGAACATGTATGCGGGTTTAGCCGTATACATAAAAGAAATGCGCCGATTTTGTACCTCTGCTGCTTGGTTTATGTACAAGAAAAAAAATTGCGTTAGACATATTGTGACGCGGTTGTTAGAGGTATTAGAGACGGAAGTAACGCGTATATTGTCGCAGGCATGCGTGGAATTGATGCGGTCAGAAAAAAAAACGGTGGGCAAGCTCTTGCAAGCTCCATTTTCACGGACAGATGTTGGAGAGTTTCTCCTGATCTTTTCGTAGTTACTTTTCGTAGTTATTTTACCAGTGGTCGCTTAAGGCATTTGCTTCGTTTCTCTTTCTTTTAAGTCTGCGTTTTTTTACATCGTTATAGGTGACTATATGGGTCAAGAATTGCGTTATGACGGTCATTAGAGAGGCTGCCATCGTTGTCGCGAGAAAACACTTAGCGCGCCATGGGATGCAGCTGCCGTCCGCCCTCAAATAAAGACTCACGCAACCTAGTCCTTTCCGCGCTGCTGCAGCTTGCATGCTGCGGAATGGTTGAGTTTATAGCACTTAGACTAATATAATTACTTGGAGCTGGCCGACTTAGCGTGATGTCACAACCTTCCATTAGAGTTTCACAAGGTTGCACCAATAAAACGTGAATGAAACAGTCGTGTTGCGGCATTACTTGTTTCTTTGTTGTTTTTTAACATTAGCCTTATTCTCTGAAGCTACATGTAAGGATGTCAATACTGAAAAAAAAAAGAGAAAGATAGTGACGACAGACTTCAATAAGTGATGGCTGAGTTGCATAAAAAGAAAAGAGAGGAGAGAGAAAGCAAGTGGGCAGGGAGATTAACCGGGCGCAATTCCTGTTTACCACCTTTCATCGGGAGAAGTGACGAAGGGGTTGAAAAGGAGACGGAAGAAAATAGAGACAGACAAATTTACACTCACGCTTGGGGGAGCTATACAAAAAAGGCAAGGATGTTGAGAGGAGCTAAGCACGCATGGCTACCCTGTGACGTGAAAGGATAAGCTTGAAGTGGTAGATGAGAACATTGAAAAACGTTAGAATTCTGTCCATCTCAGCTTCCTCTGTAATATATACATGCTTAAGAGTCCATCTTACAGTCTGCTGCAGGCGTTCCTATAGTAGGCTAGTGAACTTCAAGAAGCACTGCAGTACCTTTCTTCATAGCCTCGCACTTAGCAGAGAAACGAGGCTAAAGTCCCATAAGCATCCGTTCTCGAAAATGCCTGACATGTTTTGTAAAGCAGTTTAGTTTCGTAGCTCTAACCTGGTTTCTATGTGATGACAATGTACTTCATCGCAGTCGCATGAGAAAATTTGCTGCATTTATAAAAGCCATTCTTTCTCTGACTGAACTGGCTGGATGTGCAATTTGTGACACTTGTGACATGAAAGCAAAGAAAGAAAGAAAAACAGGAGAAATTCTGGGTAATTCTCAGGCTTAAAGTGATGACAAGTCGTGGAATGGGAAATGTTTCTGAAACCGAACATGCAAAAAGGAAACATGCTTTTTTGTGTTTCTTCTTTGATCTTTACAAGTTGCATGACTGTGCACATTACATACCTCAAAATAGGTGTCACTATAGAATTTGCTAAGGTCGTACGGAGAGCACGTTGGTTGTGAGATGCAGCTGCCATAAATAACTGTTCGAGGAAAAAAAAAAGTCCTCTCATGAAAACGACCGTAGCATAAGCTCGCACATACAGAGGAATTCAAACGTACACCTATCCGCACTTGAAAAAGGCCCACAACATAAATCCCACACTGCATGGCTGCTCTTGTACATAGTGTGTTGTACGGTCGTCACTCTCACACGTGACGGCTAAATGTGCAGCAAGACCGGTTAGAGAGAAACTCGCTTATGTTACGCATTTACTTAAGATAAACCGTTGAAACATACTTTTCACCCGTAGAAGGCTGCAGGTCCAAAAAGGCCTACTGGACCAGCGCGTAGCCAGTATCCCTGCTGTCTTGGAATAGAGACCCGCTTACTTGCTCACTCCCATTTTGCACCTTCCCCGAATATTCGATAGTCTTTTTCACCTACCAGTGATATTCCCACTGCACAACAATGTCTCTTTACTTGCGGCACAGAATAAACTCGAAAGCATTTGTTCGATTGCTTGTTAAAAGACCATTGTTAACAAGGCTGCCGTTCTTGATACCGAAAAGTCATTGCATTGTTTTTTTTTTCAAGTGTGATCAGCGTCCTCGTTTTTTATTCATTGATCCATCGCGACCAGACGGGCATCCGTTGCAACCGTGATTTATTTCAGAAAGACTATGCCCTAGGCCTGATGTCACGTAAATCTGAACTCACCCAGCCAAAGTTTCCGCGCCACCCTTGGTGGAAAGATGAGGTGCAGAAGGTCGACGTTCTTCTGTCGCTCTTCCTCTACTGCCAGGTTTGCCTCCTGGATGGAGGCGCGTATCTTGTCCATTCGCCGCTTGAGGCCGTCCTGGGCGCGGCTCTGCTCCTCCACGAGCAGGATGTCGCGTGTGGCGTCGTGCACCGGCACGTCCGAAATGTAAAGGCCGCGGCGCAGCATGGCCGACAGGCCACCGTCCACCACGGGTGAGCCCAGGAACAGCAGTGCGCGGGACTCCGGACAGTGGACCATCTGGCCTTTGATTTCCATGCCCTGAAAACGAGAGGCGGTCAGACAGAGATGCCGTGTGGTCAAGATTATGATTGAAAAACTCTAGAACAAAGCAGCAAGTTTTGTACTATCCCTGGCATCAACACAGTGAATAGTGATGAGGAAGTTATGACGTTTCGACAGAGATATTCAGAACTGAAATATGCTTTATCGAAAATATTTCATCAAAAAAACTTGCATCGCAGAGACAAAACCTTATTGTATCTCCCCACGTACTGATCGTTGTTTTAACATCAGAATACCACACCAGATCAAATGTCCACACTTATTCATAGTTCATCTGTTTCATAAGTGAATAGTGTTCACTCTTCGTGTCAGCATGTCTGCTGTGTAAATGAAGATGAGTGTTGCTCAACACTCCGACCCCCTGCTGCATCGCCTTCGAGCAAAGCCACATAACTTGTTGAATAAAGACATTGGGAAGGTCACTCACACACTCACTCACTCCCTCACTCCCTCACTTCGAAGAATTTGGATAAAAAACTGGTACATTTTGCACAAGCCTTAACACAGCGCTTAAAATATACACACAGTATAATTGGCTAAACAGATGGTGTATGCACATTAAAATCACAAGCAAAAACAAGTGGCATAAAAGTAACAAACGGGGAATATCCGTGATGCCCATGTTCAATTAGTAGATTGCCCTGTCAATATGTTAAGTCACAAGGAGATGCATAAAGATGCAGCGACATGTTGCGAAACATATCAAGTCAAGCGAGCTTCATGCGCATTCTATCATGCTATCAGCACGACAATATGGATGACAGATGAGGACGCTCTAGTCGACTGCCAGAGGTACATAACTTTGTATTGCATCTGACGATGCGCCCACGCATCGATTTAGTGGGTATAGAGCACGGCTTAAATAGCAATCGTTCTATCTCCCATTCCCATTTTCATAATATTACTAACGACAATCACCACAAAAGAAGAAAAAAATAGTAATTGGGTGCTATGATCTTTCAATCAGAGGGATCGGTTGAATACATTTACACTAATTTTATATTAGCGTTGATTGATAAGCTAGTCTACGTTTTTCGAAAACAAAATCTTCAACAAGACCTGTATACAGCAGTGTGAGACCACTATATTACATAAACGGCAACCTTAGTGCTACCACTTCCTTCCAGCGTTTCCAGTGGTGGTACGCTGTAACTAAGTATTGAAATACATCAACACAGAGGAACCCATGGGGCACTAAATACCTTAAACAAGCGCTTTTGATGCTGAAAAAATCTAGGACAATTTTATGCGCCGCTGAAGCAGTTTCATGAACGCCAGAGCTTGTATTCATTGACATTTTTGTTAGGCTCAAAGTTTTCTGATCAGTGAAAATGCCGTCCTCTCATGTCACACAAATGGGCGAAGGTAGCTGGCTATTCGATAATAGAATTTCCGAACTAAAAGCTTCGAATAGAACCTCGGGGCTAATACTCTTAAGAAGAACTTTTGCCAAAATTTGCCGCAAGCAGTAAACTCTAGCCAACCCTAACGTGTTTCTGTAACTAGCGAAGGTATATCCGCAGTAATGAGAAGCATCCCAAATGGGAAGTTTCGTGAATTCGACCAAGTCACATTGGGTTACCGTCAACAATACCCACGTTACACAGAAAAAGCAAGCGTGGTTTCGACCAACCACGGTTGACCACGTTGAACCGCGGTTAGCGTCAACCACGGTTCGCCGATGTTACACAGCGCGAAAGCATCCTCGGTTAAGGTGGCTAACGCCATCTGGCGTAAAACAATCAACAGAGCCACTTTCTTGCGTATATATGCTCCGATTAAATTCAGCAGCAACCAGCAGGCAAAAATGTCATATGTGACCCCTAGTATATTTATGTACTTTCTTGTACTTGTTGTTCAGATTGTCTATCTTCTTCCGGACTTGCTTTGGCGCGTCAGGCGGAAGGTCGGCGTTCAACTCGGCTGTAATTGCCGCGTACACGTTTGCATTGCGCGACATGCTCCGCATACCCCTCAAATCGTTCTCCCAGATCATTATCAGGCTTGCGTGGTTCGTGCCGTCCAGCTCGTCCATTTTTCACGCGGGCTCGCCAGCATGCACACATCGGTGGTGAGCGCAACCATTTTCTCGGTTATCTGTCTAACCGAGGTTGAAAAGCTCGGTTTCTTAAAGCCACTGTTAGCGCCATAACCGCAGTTTCGTGTGCCGTGTAACATCAGCGAACCACGGTTAACGTAACCGCGGTTAGCGTAATCGTGGTTCAGGCTGCCTGGGTAACAAGGGGTGAATACACTCGCTCACCTTGTATCTTTCGTGTTTGATGGCATCATCGCGCACCTGCAGCAGGAACGGCAGGTTGATGTTGGCCACCACGTGATCGAAGCGCATCTCTACCTGGGGCTGGACGAACGTGAACAGTGCTGGCAGCGTGCTGGCTCGGCTGCGGCCGCCGAAGATACGCGCCAGCCCCATGCCGAGCTGCGTCAGCTTCAGCTGCCGATCGCACATGAAGTGGAAAGGGAACGCACGACAGAAGGTCGCCACCGACACGGCCAGGTCCTCCGGGTTTGCGCTGGACACGGGCGCTGCCGCCTCGCCTCCGGCCGGCGCAGAAAGCGTCAGCACTGGGCTCCCTTCCGGCTGGAGGATGAGCGTAGCCAGCTGCGCCTTGGAGCCGGCGACGCTGACGCGCACGCTGAGATGGAAGAGCTGCGAAGGCGAGCCGGCGCAGCGTGCCCGCCAGCAGCCTGAGCAGCGGCTCGCCTCTGGACGCACACTGGAGCACGAGTCGGCCATGCTCCTCGCGCACTCCGCTGAGGCGGCCTCCCCGCAGGGGCAGGTGCGCATGCTCGAGGACCACGTGTAGCGACTCGAGGTTGACGAGGAAGTCGGCCAATGAGCCGCCCAGGAAGCGCAGCGCGTTGCCGTGCCAGTCCAGGGTGGAGGAAGCGTGCGCCTCGCCGGCGCTCTCAAGGACGGCGTCCAGGGCCAGCCCTAAGACCAAGCATGTCAGTCAGCTATGGAGGAATTGATCGTGAAATACGTCGCGCAAGGTTTTTCGTGTTGTAGTTTGGTAACCTGCAGAGGGGTCGCCCATCAGCGGAGATGAAGATTCATCACAGCGCTACCCCCTCCCCCCCCATTAGGTCCCAGCATGAGGCAGACTGGTTATGCGTCAACTGCGGAAAACTTCATCGCGTGGCGTCATTCTTGAAACGAAATGACACTACTCCGTTTCCTTGTCTTGTCTTTGAACGGACGCGTCCGCGTGTTCGAAAAAAAAATGTTCTTACATCAAAAACGAAGTGGCCATTCTGTCAAATGCGCGGAAAGTGCCGTCTACTTTTGCAGAGTGCGAGCGGCCTGCTCTGCTCTGCGAGGAAACGCCTTACGGTAGCTGCTTATACCGGTGTTGTGTGCATGCGTAGCTTAACAAATACGAAAAAGAGTTTTTCATGATAGCCGACAATAAGAATCACCTGCTATAGACCAGACGTGCAGTGGCTAAGGTACTCGGCTGCTGAACCGCAGGTCGCGGGTTCAAATCCCTGCTGCGGCGGCTGCATTTCCGATGGAGGCGGAAATGTTGTAGGCCCGTGTACTCAGATTTGGGTGCACGTTAAAGAACCCCAGGTGGTCTAAATGTCTGGAGCCATCCACTACGGCGTCTCTCATAATCATCAGTGGTTTTGGGACGTTAAACCCCACATATCAATCAATCAATCAGACCAGACGTGCACTATACGTAGTGTCGCTTGCAGTCTCGCTTCACCGCGACGCCGAAGACTGACTCGAACGGGCTGGCAACGTAAGCCTGCTGAAACTGGTGCACGCCTACTGACAGCTTGACCCGTCATTTATTTTACACCGTCATTCAAAGAGCCTGGAATCCAGTGAGGGCGCTTGGTATTTTTAAATTTTTATCATCAACGAAGTGAACTAACACGCTGTGTTCGCTGTTTATACCTTCTGAAACATTTGCAAACATATGTATACTTCTTGTCACCCATGCAGACGAGACAAATGGAATGTGTTATCAACGGACGTGCTTTTTTCCACACGCAGCTAGACAGTGCCTCAGATGAGGTGCACATTCGGCAAAATAAAAGAAGCTATGTACCCAGGCATGGTCGTTTGTTAGGCGGCGCATACTCCAGTATACAATATCACGTACTCAGCAATCACCACAATGTGTCGCCTCTTAGGGAGTATTCGACGCCGTTGGCTCTACACAGCGGTGGATGACAGTGTACAGTCGTCAGCAAGCCCAGTACGAACGCTCCGACCTGGACTAGTTTGACTGATGCCAGTCACGAAGCGCTGGGCGCTGTTGCTCAGATTGTACCTTGGTGTGCTAGGATAGTATGTAGACATCAAGGTCCTTGGTAGACATGTATAGGTAACGGCAACAGAACCCATAGCTATGCGGCGCTAGCGTCAATGAAACTGTTTCTGAACACGTGGCGGAGTGTGCACGTTAGGTTTGCTGACGACTGTGCATCTAGTCTTTCTTTCCAGGCTGAAGTAAAGCAGTCAGAAGGACACGAAGAGCACAATCGGTTGACAATAATTTACGCTAAATTGAAGCTTTGTTTTTACGTGTACTGATTGCATTGAAGCAGGCTCTAGCACTCCGAGGTTGGTGTGATCCATCTTTCAATTGAGTTCAACCTATGTAAACGGGAAATATACGGGATTGATTTAACTTCTAAAACGATACTAAAAAAGTGAGGCACGAAGTCCTTTACAAATACCCCTTTGTGATTTGAAGCACGAAATGTGACGTGTTAACACGCAACTAGCTTATAAGTCACGATAGCACACAAGATGATACAGCACAGAGGAAGTTTAACAAGTACACTACCAGCATCAACAAGTAGCTCGACAAAACTGCTGTGCATGCCGTCGCTTTTAATTTGTGTATTTGTGCATGGGAAAATGCTCGGCTCAGTAATGAGCACCACCCTGTACATGTAATGTGAGCCTCAACACTCGCCTCTTTCGTATGCCACAGCGCGTGACTTGAAAGGAGGCTATACTTAAATCTAACGAAAGTTTTGTAACTATAAAGCCTGGCCGTAAATGAGCGTACGTTGAAGGTAGGAGTCATAGTTTTTTTTTCCTACAAGATTATCTCTATACTTTCAAAAGCTTTTTCAAGTTTTATTGCCTTAAGTACACCAACTCGTGTCGTGTCTGAAGGGGCTAAATGTGTTTTAATCATGGAGGAGGCGTTATTCCAGAAAATCGAGTGGTCTGTAATCTAGTATTTCTTCGTACTTTTAGGTGTGCAAGAGGGCAGCTACAGATTGGATTATAAAGTTAGTGGATTAGTAATGGCCGACAGTGTCCGGAAATTACGCTCACTAAGCAATGGAAAACAAGCCTTACGGCCGAGTTTCCTCGAGCAAGTGAAAGAGCTTGCCGAGATTATCACCTGTGATTGTGGCCACCTCTTGCGCCACTCGGAGCAGGAAGTGAATCTGGGCGTCACAGTCTTCGACCACAGTCACGCTGTCATCGTCTCGCAGCTCATCGTGCAGTAGCGACGCCTCGTGGGCGTTGAGCCCGTCGTCCATTGCCCGCCTGCATACAGACAAGTTGGTCACGTGCAATCGTCGTAGGTTTCCTCAATGAAGGACGCGAGCTATTGCTTTTTACGACTTCCTTCACTAACCATCGATAATCCAGCTCACCGTGTATATTTAACGGTGCCTAGTTATTCGCGTTACAAGTGTGGGTCACTTCGGGGCCTGGGCCATCGTCTCATGTCGTCGTTTGGCATCACACTCATCACACCGAAATCGGCCAAAAGAGTGCGCTTCAGGTCGTCCACACAAAAATTTGTTAAGAGATGTCGCCACTGCTCACAAGTGGAGGTTTTGTTTCTCGCCATGGGCCCTGAGTATTCTGCACGTTGGGAAGCGCCATATTATCGCTGTTCTGTCGAATACGTTATTGTAGAGCTACAGTATACATACAGTCTATCACTAAGTTCGTTGTCAACTCCTCACCTCCAACGTCACTCTATATGGACGCTGATTTCTTCGGTATATATTACCAACTGTTAGCCTATAGTATCCTGCTCTTTCAAATCATCCTGCTCATGTGCATTGCAATCTCAGTGCACGTTAAAGATGATCAAATGACCGAAGATACCAGAGCCCGCTACTATGGAGTCCTTCATATTCATATTATGGTTATGGGGCAGGCAAACCCCAGATACTATTGTGATATCAATTACGTAGATAGTCTCAACAGGTTTTGCCGTCGCCGTGAAGTCCCGTGTAAAGTCGGAATTGATAAAATCCGCCAGGGCATATCAAGCAGAGATCAGACTAATCGGCTTACCTGCCTCACGTGGTATGCACATGTAATAAGATCCCCCCGCCTGGCAGACTGGCCATCGCGTGCTCAAGCAGTGAGGAAACACTCCACCCGTCTATAACGAACTTAAAGAGAAGTGAGTGGTGGGACTTGAACAGCAACTGTGATTTTACGGGCGCGGTCACCATCGCTGGCATGCGCATTATCTCGCCAGCCATCAGCGGGCAGCTCGTCTACCCCTCTACGTGTTGCACTCAAAACGTGAAGAGACTGTACGAAAAGTGACTTTGGAGCGGCCGCACCCTCAAACGCCAGTGTTTTGTAGAGTTGCGTGATATCGTATCCAAAAGAGTCAGCTGCCAGCCTCACTTCGTATAACATAACAATTTGCCGCTATCGCATTCACTGCTTAATCCTTGTGGTGACACAGACTTTTTTTCTACTTTTAATATTATTATGTTCCCAATCATTCGTGTTACTGAAAATGCTCTTGAAGTTCTAGCGAGGCTGCACCTAACTTAGTGAAATCTTGGTAACTCTTTTACCTTACTCTAAGTGAGACTGGCAAAATAAAAAGTTGGCAACACTTTTCGTGCTTTTATTACTACACCGGGTGTTTTCATTGTACTTCATGCAGTGATCTGAAAGCTCTATCTTGCATTCCCCAACCTACGGTCCTAATTCGAGCTTATATTCGATCTGTTAAAGAACTATGAACAGCAGTATCATTCGCCCTGAAAGGCGGCGGCACTTTCTTGTCTGTTTTTTTTTCTGAACTTACGAAAGATAGAAAAATAAAATCTGGCCGGAAGATTTAAAACTTCCGCTTGTTTACTTTCGTGGTAGTTTCGAAGCAACGTTAACAAAACGCGTAGGTTGTTGGAGTTTGCGACAACAATGCCAACTAGGCTTCCGTATTTTTTTTTTTTTTTGCGACAGCTGCCGAAAAATTTGCGCGCTGTGATTTGTGCGAAAGGCTTTCAGTTCTGCGGTTGTGCCATTTATATTGTATAAACAACAATATAAGTCACAAAGAGAGGAAAAAAAGGATGAAGCAGTCGGCACGCGAGTTATTTCACCACCGCATTATAATGAAGCTTTTTCTATCGCGTGCCTCCATATGCGCAATCAAATCAGTTTCACGCGTGCTCTGACTTAAACCGGATGCAAAACTCGATTTCCTGCCGGCAGCTGCCAAAAGAGAACGCGCGAAGCAGCCATTTCTCAAATGAAGCTTACTTGGCACTCTATTCTTTATTAATTTTTGTTGGCATGTGACGACAAATGTGGTTATGTGGACAGAGACGGCGAATCTTCCGCCGCAATGCATTCACCCGAGAAGTTAGTTGGCTGACGTACGAGGCAGCTCCGTTTCTTTTTATCTAGTTTTTTTTCCTTTTCAGAAGGGAGGCACGAGACGTGCAATAACGTCATTGTCGCCGTCGTTGTCCTGTTTTCTTCTCATTGCTGTTGTTTTAATCATTTATTCTTTGTTGTTGTTGTCTTTTTAAGAAGCGCTCGCTCATTCCAAAGAGAAAGCAACATATTCAGTATTTAATTAATTACCTATTTATTGATTTCACTAATTATTTATTATAACTACCTAATTGATATGTGAGGTTGAACGTCCCAAAAACACCATATGATTATGACAGACGCCGTAGTGGAGGGCTCCGGAAATTTCAAACCGCCTGTGGTTATTTAACGTGCAACCAATTCTGAGCACACGGGCCTACAACATTTCCGCCTCCATCGGAAATGCAGCCGCCGCACGGAAAGTAACTGTCCTGCCTTCTCATCAAAGAGTAAGCCGCACGCATATACTTTAAATCTCTTCTTTGTAAATATTATTCCTAAAGGAATTAATCATATGCAGTTATGACGTATACTTGAGCGTCAAAGCACGAATTGTTAGATCCCTTGCGTTAAGAGCATTTCAAGTTTAAGGGAGCACGTGTCCTTCTTTCTTTCTTTCTTTCTTTCTTTCTTTCTTTCTTTCTTTCTTTCTTTCTTTCTTTCTTTCTTTCTTTCTTTCTTTCCTTCTTTCTTTCTTTCTTTCTTTCTTTCCTTCTTCCTTTCTTCTTTCTTCTTTCTTTCTTTCTTTCTTTCTTTCTTTCTTTCTTTCTTTCTTGTATATACTCAGTATACGGAACGCTCTCAGCAGGCTAACCACCCTATTTCTTCGCGCACATTTTCCACTACAGATGCGCTACCAAACATCGCAAAGTCGACGCTAACGTGAAAAACGCGTGCTTTTCCATCCTCCAGAATGTGAAGAGAATAATGAAACAGCGAACTCGTTAATAACAAGTAGTAGGGACAAGGCGACGTACAATTATGAGCTTAAGAGCACAATTAGAACATTTGAAAGGCAACGCAGACTCACGAAGAAAACAGACCCCACTCCACTTTGCCCAGACTGTGGTGCAACAAATTTCATGCGTAATGCGCGCGTAATGCGGATTTTGCGCATAAACATCCCAAGTTTTCTTTCTACCAAAAGGACATCTTGTGAATTTAAGCTTTTTCAGTCGTGGGTTCTTCATAAGGAAAGGTATGTTATCTTTAACATTGAAAAACAATATATTTCTCATGCTCTCACGTTTTCTGCGTTTGCAATAATTAGAGGCAAGACAAAACGCTTCAATGCTTTTTTTGGGATGGCCCAGGTGCTCTCATGTTTAAAGAAGTGTAACGAGCTTTTTCGCGACAATGGTGGAGAATTTTAGTTTGCCTTGGTAACATTACACGTGCGAAATATACTTGTGAGAAGCTTGTGTCGTTTCCCCCCTGAACATTTTGCATCCTGAAAATGAAACCTTTATAACGGGACAGATGAGGCACACGAATATGGTGAATTTTGAAAAAAGTGACACCACCATCCAAAGGCCTTCATCCCATATTTTGCTCGCACAGACCTACTGAAGTATTCGTACTTTCCAAGAACCATATGTGAATAGAACTGTCTAATACGTGTGATGAATGAACTAACCTACCAAACAACCTTCTTCGCCCTTTATTGTTTCGTTTCGCAATTATTTTATTTGTATGTGTATTACCACCCTGCTTGGACCTCGAGTCTGCAGTATTGAATAAGTAAAATAAATAAAATTTAAAAAATCACAGTTTTACCGCATGGGTGGCAGCTAACAATGCTGGCAGCTCACTCTTTTTTATCTGATCTCGCGTAACTCTGCAAAACGCTTGTGAAATGGCATACGGCCGCACGAGGGAATGAATCACTTTTCGCAGTCTCCTCGCATGGACAGCACATCGCGCAGAAGAATATATATATATATATATATATATATATATATATATATATATATATATATATATATATATATATATATATATATATATATATATATATATATTGCCACGTTCCATTCACAAGTTTTTGTTATCGTTCCGAAACACCACACTATTCTCGGCGCAAACCGCGCCTGCAGGTTTCGAGAAGGTTCCGGGCTGTAGTAGATCATTTCGATAAGATCACGCCCACTGTGCGAACGGTACAGATTGTTCTGGAACCTACGCTACCGCCAGCGAAAACGCTAGAACATTCGACGGCAAGGGTATAAATGCCGACGCGCTTCGCCGCTTGTCAGTTGTTGATCGAAGGCCGACGCTGCGTTCGCCGCTATCAGTCCGAGACTGCTATCTGTGCAAGACTGCTGCGGTAATTAGACTTTCCCTTTACCGGGCACAGGTTCGCCCAAATAAACAGTTAAATTCCAACACGAGGTTTTCTGTCTTTGGCCACGTCACGACCCCGTGACATCTGGTGGAGGTGCTGCTTCGTTCATGTACCGGACGCCCCCGTCAAGCCGTGAACCCAGCCCCCTTCGCGGAGAAGACACCGACGCCAACCAAGAGCAGCGAACGAACCGCCGACAGCAAGGTCTCCCACCGGAGTACGGCCTGCTACAAGACAAGGCGCGGAAGACCAAGACCATGACCTCGACTGCAGCGACAATGACAACCGGAGCGTCCCAGCCCGCGATCGTCATTTATCAACCCAGGGAACCACCAACGTTCCATGGCTCATCGTTTGAAGACCCAGAAACCTGGCTAGAAACATACGACCGTGTGGTCGCCCTCAACCACTGGGACAACGAAGAAAAGCTCCGTCGTGTGTACTTCTACCTGGAAGACACCGCAAGGACCTGGCTAGAGAATCGGGAGTCCACGCTCCGAACGTGGGATGTCTTCTGCGGCGCATTTCTTCAAACGTTCGCAAGCGTCGCTCGCAAAGA